CAAATTTTTTTGTCCAGTCCATCAAAGACACAGGCTTCTTTTGCTCATGAAATGTCCACAGTTAAATCGATTTGTCTGTGTTAGGTATAGAGTTATGTGGGAGAAGTTTCTTCCTCATTTAGGTGCTTATCTAAATCAGAGAGGGCTTCCAAAGACTGCTTTTCATGGCTTCACAAAGTATTCAGATTTCGTGAGTTACTATCCCAACAATGCCCTAGTGAATACTGACACATCGCTTGGTCAAACTCTTTGTTCTCATCAGTCTCCCCGAGCCCAATCCTGGAAAAATGCCTTTTCTGTTCCCCAAGAGCCTGCACCTGAGTACGCAAAGTTAACTGAGAAAGAACTCAGTTAAAACTCACAGGGCAAACTGATTGATACCACCACAAATTCATCAAGGCAAACCTGGTAGACTCCCAATACTGGTCAGTCTTTGTTCTTAGTTTCTCTGGTCAATTCACTGTTTTCTATTCTGCAAAACTTCTCTGTGCTCCTCAAACCTACAACTGCCTCACCTTCTTTCTCACTCCATTAGGTGAATTCTCTGTCATCTCCCACCAACAAACCTACAGACCCTGCAACTTCAGCTGTCCCCATCGTTTCTTTTGTTCCAGGAAAATTGCAGGCTTTACATGGTTGATTATCCCTTCTACCCCACTGTACCTTCCCTGCCTTCATTTTTCCTAAAACATACCTAAGTCTTTGTCATCCTAAAAGTAAAACCAGACTTCTGGTAGCAACAGAATAACTTGAACAGAATATCCTTCCTGCTGATCACATAATAAGATTATTTATTTTGGCTGGCACCATGGCTCACTAGGCTAATCCTCCGCTTGTGGCACCGGCACCCCAGGTTCTAGTCTTGGTTGGGGTGCCGGATTCTGTCCCGGTTGCCCCTCTTCCAGGCCAGCTCTCTGCTGTGGCCCTAGAGGGCAGTGGAGGATGGCCCAGATCCTTGGGCCCTGCACCCACATGGGAGACCAGGAGGAAGCACCTGCCTGCTGGCTTAGGATCAGTGCAGTGCGCTGGCCTTAAGGCGCCTCTGTAGCAGCCATTTGGGGGGTGAACCAACGGAAAAAGGAAGACCTTTCTTTTTTTTTTTATTTTTTGACAGGCAGAGTGGACAGTGAGAGAGAGGGACAGAGAGAAAGGTCTTCCTTTGCCGTTGGTTCACCCTCCAATGGCCGCCGCGGCCGGCGCGCTGCGGCCGGCGCACCGCGCTGATCCGATGGCAGGAGCCAGGAGCCAGGTGCTTTTCCTGGTCTCCCATGGGGTGCAGGGCCCAAGCACCTGGGCCATCCTCCACTGCACTCCCTGGCCACAGCAGAGAGCTGGCCTGGAAGAGGGGCAACCGGGACAGAATCCGGCGCCCCGACCGGGACTAGAACCCGGTGTGCCGGCGCCGCTAGGTGGAAAATTAGCCTAGTGAGCCGCGGCGCCGGCCTAGGAAGACCTTTCTCTCTGTCTCTCCCTCTCACTGTCTAACTCTGCCTGTCCAAAAAAAAAAAAAAAAAAAAAAAAAAAAAAAAAGAATCTAGCATTCTATCTTTAAAAAATTATTTATTTTAAAATAATTTATTATTATATTATAAAATGTGGATATAGGTGAGTCTATCTGCCTACCTATCACATACACACACACACACACACACACACAGGAGCATCAAAATGTTCATAGAAAAATGGAATTAAAATAATGTGAATTTTCTTGAATTTGTTGAATCTTCTTTGTACATAGATATAAAATATGTATTATATACCAGGGCACTTCAGAAAGCCCATGAAATAGACCACAAAGATAAAATTATTGTGGTGCAAAACGTTTTTAAATTCATGCATATAAGGGGGTTTCAAAAAGCTTTTGAAAAACATAATATCATGAAAAAAATCCATGAATTTAAAAATATTTTTGCACCAAAATAAACTTTTTTTTTAATTCCACCTTTCACTGACTTTTTAAAGTTCCCTTGAATATATAGTCAAGACAATGGAGGTTGGCCAAAAGCAGGCAGCGGCTGAAGAGGGATCTACCTTCGAAAGCAGGAATTATATCATAAGATTTGATAGTTTGCAGCTTTTGGCCTGAGGGCAGCCCGATCTGCAAGCAACTCATGGCAGCAGAAAGTCAAAGTTTTACTAGCTTGAGGTAACAGAGAACAGAGTTGGAACCAGAAGAGCAGCCAGGAAGTTTCATGAAAGGAAGGAAATTCTGGAATCAATAGAGATGCAGAGGAGATGAAGTCCCAAATCAGTGCAGAAAACCTGCCCAAATCATTGACTGACCATTCAACTATGCACACACAGAGGAGCAGGGGGGAAAAAAGCTGCAGCTGGAAGCTGAAAGAATACAGCCGAGATTAGAAGAGACAGAGCTGGAATCTGAGTCCAGCCAAATTAACTCCCTTCTGGAACAAAAATTAGTTTTTTTGAGAAACAAAACAGAATCCAGAGTCCATTGAATCCCAAGTGCATAGAGGTCCGTTATGATAGTTTACTTTATATATCTTTGAAATTTTCCATAACAAGAAAATGAAAACAAAATAAAACATCAACAAAAATACCACTGGACCTCAATCTACTCTCTTGACCTCTACATTCCTTGCTGAGACTGTTCTTTTTCTCTCCTCCCTCCCATTATCAAACTTCTTGCAAACTTTGTCTACACTAGCAGTCTCCATTTTTTTTCATCTCCCACTCATTCTTTGATCCACTGCCATTTGTCTTTTCTCAGCAACCTGCTACTAAAACTGCTCTTGCTAATCTAACAGTGATCTTCATGTCCCTAAATGTTGGGGTCTCTTCATTCTCCATCTCCTTTTGCTTCTCAGTTAGAACTTGACACTTTCAATCACTCCCTCGCCCAAACTTTGGCTTCTGAGACTCCAGTTCTTTGAGTTTTCCAGTCCCTTATGCTGGCATATCCAGCCATTACATGTTAAAATTCCTCGAAAGTTTGTATTATTTCATTTTCCTTCTTACTCTCACTGTTTCTCTATGTGATGTCATCAATGCCTAAGGCATTTGGTCAATGACTCAGATATCTGTAGACCAAAGTTTCTCACCTTTGACACTGTGGACATTTTGAGTTGAGTAATTCTTTGCCGTTGAGGGGTAAGATTGTCTTGTGCACTGGTAGGATGTCTGGCAGCATCTCTGGCTTCTACCCACTAGATGCCAGTAGCACCCTATTGTGATAAACAAAAATGCTTCTAGACACTGGAAAACACCCCTTGAGGGGACAGAATCAACCTTGGTTTTAGAGCCATTGCTCTAAACCTTTATGTTTAACTGCCTAACTGACATGATCCTTTGAATGTGTCAGACTTAACATCTGCCCTTCAAACTTGAACATTCCTAAGATCAAATTTATGACCTAATCTTCTAGCACTTTGACTCAAAGACAAGACAAAACAAAGATCCATTCCTCTCATTCCCTGGTTGTCAGCCACGCTGGCCTTTTATTCCTTTACCAGTTCATAGACTGTTCTCTCTGCCTGATATAACCTGACTTTATTTAGTGAATTTCTACTCATTCTTTTGATTATTTATTTCTAAGCCAAAGTAGGGACTCTCTGTTATATATGCTCAATATACCTGATTCCTACACAAACAAACTTATAATTATTCATGTGGCTATTCGCTATTCAGTTAATATCTTCTTAAAAAAGATTTATTTATTTGAAAGACAGAGTTACAGAGAGACAGAGGCAGAGAGAAAGAGAGGTCATCCATCTGCTGGTTCACTCCCCAGATGGCCACAATGGCTGGAGCTGTGTTGATCCAAAGCCAGAAGCTAGTAGCTTCCTCTGGATCTCCCACGCAGGTTCAGGGGCCCAAGCACTTGGGCCATCTTCTACTGCTTTCCCAGGCCATAGCAGAGAGCTGGATTGGAAGCAGAGCAGCCACGACTTGAGCCGGCACTCATATGGGACACTGGCATCGCAGGTAACAGCTTTATCTGCTATGCCACAGCACTGGCCCCATAGTTAATATCTTTCCACCTCATTAGACTGTAAGCCTTTTGAAGGCAAGGTCTGTTATATGTTTTTTTTGATAATATTCACCATGATATTCCCAGGCTTAATCCATAAAATATGCTCAAGACATCATTTTTTTAATAAATGAATAAATGAATGATGATGATAATGCTTGAGGGATAAGAATGAAAAGTGTTGAATAAGTTGGATGAGAGTTGAAATAAAGGCAGTGTGTGCGTTATGTTGTATCCTGCTCAAGGCATGCTTCCGGCTGTGTGGGGTATGCTGGACTCTGTTGAGTCCTGTGGCTTGGAGTGGAGAAATGAGCACTTGGCATGTGGTGGATGGGCAGAGTAAGTATTTGAAATAACTCACTCATAAAATTGAAAGCAAGTTTGTCACCTCCAATAAGTCTCTTTAGCTTAGGTATTATTTTAAACTTAAGGCCATTGAGAATGGCAGGCACAGGAAAAATTCTAAGACCAGGGGCACAAATTTTCCTTCTGTGGGAGTGATTTATATTTATCAAAAACATTTTCCATTTGTAGGAGATCTCCCCCTTCCCCCCCTACCCCCCCAGGAAGAAGAGGACTCATCATTGGAGAAGGCATTACCTTAAATCTGCATTTAAGTCAGACCAGGAAACCGTGTTTACTATACTTCTCATGATCGCTTTCTTAAGATTTTCTCTCCCCTCACTCCCCAAAGCCCCAAACTCCATTCCTTTATTTTAGCTTAAAAAATTTCTTTTAGCCCAAGTTCTAACCATCCCTTTGGGTTACCCTTTGCTGGGTGCTCCTGTGTGGACACGCATGCTGCACATGTTCAATGTCTTGCTTTTCTCTTAATATCCTTAGCTGGTCTAATTTATTCCCTCTCTGTATCATGACAAAATGGGTGGCTCTAAATCATTAGAAATTCTTACCAATAGAGAAGGCACCAAGTTAAATCTATATACTGTTTTTTCCCTGGCTGTTTCACCAGGACTGTGTGCTCCTCAACATCCTTCTTTCTTTGTTTCAGCTGAAGATGGTTTCAAAGCCTGACCTCAAAGCCAAGACTGCATGAATTACTTACTCCCTGAGCATCTCATGCATACATGGGTATACACATTCTTCAGATTTCTGTTTGTTTCTCACTTTTCAGTCTGTCTTTTGTTATAATAGTCCATCCCCAAGAACTAGAACTTGAACTAAGAACTAGGAGGGGTCGAGAGAGAATTTTTTTTCCTCCCACACACGAGGAAGGAGGCAGATTCTTTTAATCAATTCTTTTAATCTAGAAGAATTGGGCCCCAGGCTCAAACTCACTGATGACTCACTGAGTGACTTTGGGGAAGTCACCGAACTGACACTAACTAATCCCTTTGACACCTCCCTGGCCTCTTAATGCTCTTAGCTTGGTCCTGTTTTGGAAATGTCTCATCCAAACTGCTCTGGTTCTTATCATCCCCCAGACGCAGCCTCTGTAAGATACATAAAAACAGCCTCACATATTTAGGGGTTATATCAATTTTCTATTGTAGACTTTAGCAAAGCTCTGGTGTGGTTAATTCTAAAAACAGGAAAAAATGTGGTTACTGAGATTGTCTGGTACAATAAGATGAGAAAAAGGAAAGATACTTAAAAGGAACATTTTTACATTCAAATTTAAGCTACTAAAATTTCAAAAGACCAGGGGCCAGCGCTGTGGCTCAGCAGGTTAAGGTCCTGGCCTGAAGTGCTGGCATTGTTAGGAAAATGGCTCAGTCTTATCTATGGCGTGATCTACACCCTGGCACCATCCTAGGCTCTAGCCCCCTCTGCCATTGCTGGAAGCCTGGTGGCCACATGGCCCAACCACCAGTGTCAAGCTCCACCCCCATCCTAATGGGATTTGCTGTCCCTACTTCCCTGCCCACCCTCTGGCAAAGTTTTAAAAGAATCTGTTCCTGAACACGTGGCTCTCTCCGGCTCGCTTGCTCTCTCTTGCTCCTCTCTCTCATCTCTCTCTCTCTCTCTCTCTCTCTCGCTCCCCTCTCCTCTCCCTCTTCTCTCTCCTCTCTTGTCTCTGCTCCTCTTTCCTCTCTTTGCTTGCTCTCTCACTCTCTGCGCTCTCTAGCCTCCTCTTCTGTCTCTCTCGGCTCCTCTCTCGCTCTCTCTCCTCTCCATCTCCTGATCTCTCTCTTGATCTCTCTTAGACTCTCCTTCTCCCTTTTTCTCCTTCCTTGCCCCTTCCCTCCAGTCTGCTGGGTTTTCTACAATACACTCTTTTCCTTACTCCGGTGCTTAGTGTGTTTTGTGGCGACCTTACATTGGTGCCAAAACCCGGGACCTTACAGGCATCCCAATATGGGCGCCGGTTCTAGTCCTGGCTGCTCCTCTTCTGATCCAGCTCTCTGCTATGGCCTGGTAAAGCAGAAGATGGCCCAAGTCCTTGGGCCCCTACACCCAAGTGGGAGACCCGGAAGAAGCTCCTGGCTCCTGGCTTCGGATCGGTGCAGTTTCGGCCATTGCAGCCATCTGGGGAGTGAACCAGCAGATGGAAGACCTCTCTCTCTCTCTTTCTCTTTCTCTCTCTTTCTCTCTGCCTCTCCTTTCTCTGTGTAACTCTAACTTTCAAATAAATAAATAAATCTTTAAAAAAAATTCAAAAGACCAGTCCTCATTTTTTTGCTTGTATTATTTCATGTTTTGCAGTGGTCACACTGCAAAAACACCTTCTGAAATGTACTAAGAGCTTTTAACCACTTCTCAAAGTGCTTTTCTCCAAATGAACCTAAAATTCACTTACAAATGGCTCCAAAAGTGTTGTGGTGGATGGGGATTTTGAAATGTCCAAAGAACTCATTTTATAAAAATGAAAGGTGAGGTCCAGAAAGGCTAGGTGACTTGTCCCGGGTCACATGTCCCACAAGCAGCAGCACCTGACTGGACCAGGGTCCTGAGTTTACTTCTCCTCCCACTGCCCCAGACCGCCTGTTCTGACAAACAGCTGAAAGCACAGAATGAAGTGCCTAGCAGAAATGCATATTGGGAGCATTGATGAAATATTTTCTTTGGTGTATGTTGGTGAGGAAGCAAAATGTGCAGGGCCAGGGATTCTGCTGATGAATGGATCACAGGCCCTAGCAGGACTGTAGAGAGAGCTGTCTAGTGCATCCACCCATCCCTTGGCAGAACCACATCTAGATAACTCAGAAAGAGGATACTCCCAGGGAAGAAAACCTCTTTTTCCATGCCCTCTGCAACCTAGTCTCGGGTTTAGCAACCACTCACTTGGGGATACAATTCTCTCCACTGGTAACTGATAACTGGTGATGGGATTGGTTCTTATCTGTTTGCACAAGGTTGTAATCAAGTGAGGAATGCAGACACTCATTCCTCTGCATTCCTTAGTGGCTTCAGAGAGATATGAGGGGGTCTTCAAAAAGAAATGTGTATTATGTGTATAGAAAATGTGTATTATGAAGAATCTGCATGCATTTCAGAAAATATTTTGTACTAAAGTTAACTTTTTTTTTAAATTCCATTTTCCATGAACTTTTTGAGGGTCTCTTCTCTCCAGAGATCCCAGGAGTGCTCCTCCTAGGCCTGCTGAGTCCTACCCTGAGACCTCAGACTCACATGCTTCCCTGAGAGTAGAACGGAGATTTTCAAGTTATTTCCAGGAAGAGAAAGCTCTGACCAGGGATAAGGCTGACAAGGTTGCAACAGACTCAAGTGAAGTTTCAGAGGAACTTCCAAGGGAAGATAGCATAGACCAGGTATTAAATGTACACTGCAAACACAGCACCTGGCCTCAGATCCTGGCTCTGCCACTCACTGGCTATGTGGCTATGGGCAAGTTACTTCCCTTGTTCATGTTCCTCGTGTGGAAAATGGAAGAAGGGAAAACACCTGCTTCATGCCTTTATTGCAATGATTAAAGAAGGCAGAGCACAAGTGCAGAAGAACACTGCAGTGTCTGCTGGCATATAGCAAACACTCAGCAAATGGTAGTTTTTAATATTGTTGATTTAGTTTGTGTTTAAGAATGCAGCTTGGGGGTCAGATGCCTGGATTCAAATGCTGACAAAATGTCTAGCAAGGTACCTGGCTCATAGTTAGAGCTTGATAAAGTAACTCATTGTGCATCAGTTTTTTTGTTTCCACGCACCAAAATCTGACACAGACAATGGACAGGCATCCTGTGCTCATAGATTGGAAGAATTAATATTGTTATTGTGATCTCCAGATTCAATGCAATACTTATCAAAATCCCAATAGCATTCTTTACAGAAATAGAATAATAACCCTAAAGTTATATAAAATCACAAAAGAGTGTATCAATTTTTTAAAACTAGAATTATACCTCACCAGTGTATGTGATTGTCAGGAGCCATGACTTAGAGTGACATGTTCCTTCTCCTGGTGGAATGGGAAGATGGTTGTAAATAAAATCGGGCAGGTAGAACATCTCCCATTATGTGGTTCAGATAAGGGGCACAAAATGAAAGGGTCTTTGGTGATGCACAACTGGGGTGAAAATCTTCCACGTTCCCTGCAAGAGCTAGCAGTATCCAAGGAGGCCGAAAGGCAACAAGTCGTAGAGGGAAACATTCATTCATTCATTCTTCACTCAGCGAGTAAGGCCTTCTGGGGCCCTGCCCTCTATGTGCATTACGGTAATGCGCAGGCAACACTTGTGGGCGGGCATCATCACAGTGTTACAGCTAAATCGGGAGGTAGTCTGTGAGGGTGGAGACTTCTTGGATTCAGATACAGGTCTCTCGGGCCTCGGAAACATGCCCCTTTAGACGTGTGATGTGAGTGAGTCACTTCACCTCTCTGTACCTTAGTTTTTTCATCAGCAAAATGGGGAGCATGGCTTCTCCATTAGAGTGACTGTAAGGCTCAACAGAGGCAAGTTCGCGGGATCCTTGCATGCTGTACAGCCCTGCTGACACACCAAGCTTAGTGTTTCTCTGACCTTGCACAGTATGGTAAGTCTGAGAGGGGGTGGTAAAGTGAGGCTCTTGGATTGCAGCCAGCTCTGGTTTCCTGGCAGCTCTGTACGGGCAACTAGGGTGGTAGTTCAGGTGCCAAGGCGTGCTCTGTGTTCCACAGCTGGGTCTATTCCAGTCATCTCTCCTTGAGCAGGAGCCAGTTTCTGCCCCTGGAATGAATGATGTCCTGCAAGCTTTTCCTCTGACAGCTGGTGTGACGTGTTCAAAGGCCAATGTTATCATCTCTCTCTGAGGCACAAAGGGAGGCAGGAAGGTGGGAAGCCTCAGGAAGCCTGGGCCTGGCTCTGAGGCACAGAGACACTTCCAGCTTTTGAGCCAATTGCAGGCTGCTGGAGATCCCCAGGTGCTGAATATCCTGCTGTGAGCTGATGCAACCTAGCACTCATCCCGGCTGAGGGGCCTCTGGATAATTAATGAGAACAGTAAGATGGGCATCTGGGACAGAAGCAGTCATGGGATTCTGGCTGCTAACAGCTACTGATTGGAACAGGATGAAAACAAAACCAATTTTAGCTACTGATGACTTCTCTCAAGTTTTTTTCCTGTTAACTTCCCAGGAAGTAATTTTGGAACTTGAGAGGGAAGAAAAGATGTATTTATTGACTATGGCAAGCTGCCTACTTATGGAATCCAGGGTTTAAATGAACAGATGCCTTGCTCTACATAAAATTCAGTATGTTCCTGAGAAGTTTTGAGTAAATAAAATATTTACACCCAAAATGGCATTTTTGGCACAACATGGTATTACATATGTGCTTGGGAGAATGCTGTTTAAAAGAAGCTTGAAGGGCATTGCAAGGGGACACACATCGCTGGCCCTGCTTTGTGGCTTTCAGAAGTTTGGGCTTTCCTACTGCAGCTAATAGAAACAAAACACAACAAAGGCACTCTCTTAGCTTGGGCCACTGACCAAGGCTAAGGGGTAGTGGCGGGAGATGCGTGCGATGTTGCTCCTCCTGCCTGGGAGCTTTGAGGCAAATACACAGGGAGGGAAAGGAATGGATTTGTGTTTAACAAAAATCGCATTGGGCACCTAATGATTCTTTCCCATACTTAGTTAATAGGCAGATTTGGCGTGGACTGTTAATCCTGACACATGATTCAAAGTCTTCTTCCTATCCACGCGTGGAAGCGATGTGTCCTATTTCCCATCTAGGTTCTGTTCCCTCTTCCAGGCATTGGTAGGCTGGCCTTCCATGATTTTCTGAAATGAAGCTGAGCCTGAGGACCTGCTCTGGCCAATG